AAAAAAAAAAAAAAAAAAAACCAAAAAAACCAAAAAAAAAAAAAAAAGAGATGTGCTCAACTGTGACTGGGATAGTTGCAGGTGTTCCAGGAAGGACCACTGTGGCCTTTGGGTAAACTCCACTCCCGCTCTGATACTCCCCCACCCCTTGAGGTTTCAGGAAGAATGTACCTGTTGACATAACTGTACCCACTCTGTGATCACTCTGTAACCAGACCATGATCTTGTGAAACGAAATTGTATGGGAATTGTAATCTTATGGCTTTTGTGGGTTTTTCCTTTAAAAGCCCCCATGGGGCTGCAATAAGAGGCGGCTCTTGCTCTTGGGAGCAGAGTTTGCCCTTCTGTATAGAAGCTTCAAAAATAAATCCTCGTGCTTTTGCATCAACTGGACTGGAGTCTGGGTTCTTGGGGCTCCCACTTGAGACCCTAAATTTTACCAATTTAGACTTCCCCAAGACTATACATGATAGCAAACCTGAATCGAAATTTAGTAAAACAAAACCAAGCAACGCTTCCCTCTAAAAAGGCACACATATTCCAGCGGACATTTGTGCATTTGAAGGGGAAGTGGAAGGCAACAGTCACCACTGAAACGGCAAGGCAGGTGACAGGGACTATTACTAGTTACACAGTCCATTTCCTATATTAACTACTAAATTCAAAATAAAGAGAAGGAAACTCAGCATTAAGGGAACTTTAGAAATATAAGGACAGACTTATAGCATCACCTGTGGAGTTTTACAATACTGTATGCAAGTTGGCATGAGAATTTTTCTGAAAATATGATTAATAGCTGTCACATACCCAAAGAGAAGCACGGCTTTATCCTTTGTGATATGATGGCTATTTCTGCATAGGAGCTGAGTCCTTACTAGGAAGACCCTGATGCTGCCTTTCCACCAATGTGGAGTTAAAGCCTTGAAATCTTTATCCTCCTTACCAGTGAACTCGTATTTAGCACAGGACATATCAATGGTTGGTTCTAGGTCAATGCTGGAAACCTTAGAAAGCCAGTCCCGAAAATCTTCAAACATAAGTTTCCTAGAAGTGTGAACAAAAGACAACCTGTTATGCCACAGCATAGGTTCATCTGGAGCCCCGCCATTCCTATGCTCTCTAAAGGTCGCATTTCATTCAAGAGACCATTCTCAAATTTCATTCATGAGACCCTGAGCGACTGAGAGACGCTCTGGTTTAAATTTGCATGGTGTCAAGTTCCCAGGGAAATCATGGAACTCTCCAGCTACCACAGTGCGCTTGCTCGAAGTCTCGCCATTTTGTTCTCTAGCAGTTTGCCTATGGCATGACTTCCCACATCAGCACTCTGGTTTTGTTGTCCATCACTACATCACTGTTCCATTATAAGTCATGCAGTTTCACACAGGCTTTTCAGGAGTAAATGTGAAAACTCAATTGCTTTTTTTTTACACCAAATTGCTTCTGACACCAAATATGTGGGTTTTCCTGTTAACTACTTAAGTTTGGAAACAATCAGGACCCCTTAAAACTCAGTTCAATTCTTACACTATCTACAGGATTAAGGGCTCAGTCTCACAGGACTGGCTGCCTTCAGATCTAATTAGAGGACCAGCTCATGAGTTGTGCTGATCCTGTATAAACAGGAGGTCCCTACAACACCCTCCTCAAGTTGGATAATTTTTTAGGTAATTTTTTACTTCACCCACATCAGGAAGCTCACAACTATAACTGCAGTTCCAGGATCCAATGTCCTCTGGCCTCCAGGGGCATCTACACACAGATGAACTCAACTAGGGCACACACACAAACAATAATTTTTTTTTTTTAATGACTCAACTCAGGAACAGCTAAATACAAAAGATTGACAGCATAAAGCCCTGGGGAGAGAAACAGAACCTCTCGCATCTCCTTGGCACCTCAGGAACTTAGGGACGCTTTGCTGCACAGGCATGGTTGACTTAACAAACCACTGGCCACTGGGGATGCATCCAGCCAACTGTAAGCCTTTCTTCTCTTTGAAACAAGGTCCTGCTTTTTAGCCCAGGCTTGGCCTACAGCGTACTATGTAGCTCAGGCTAGATTCAAACTTGTAGCAACCTGACCTGACTACCCTCCTTGTTTTTCTGGGGCTGGAATGGTTAGAGCTGAGAGCTGCCGCCCTCTTGGTTATCTTCTTGGCAACTGTCCCTTCTTCTCCAGCCTCTAGGAGTTCTCCATTACCAGAAGCCCAGGTGTGATAGAAAGTTGTTTTTCCCTAACAAAGGTTCTCCATTCACCTTTATTAATCTTGACACTTAAATTTTAAATCTTAGCCGGGCAGTGGTGGTGCACGTCTTTAATCCCAGCACTCGGGAGGCAGAGGCAGGCGGATCTCTGTGAGTTCGAGGCCAGCCTGGGCTACCAAGTGAGTCCCAGGAAAGGCGCAAA